TTGTCCTCAGGTTTCTTGTCCTCAGGTTTCTTGTCCTCAGGTTTCTTGTCCTCAGGTTTCTTGTCCTCAGGTTTCTTATTGTCCTTGTCGTCCTTGCTGTTTTTACTTTCCAGAGTAATTATCCCAGTAAATTTAGACTCAAAAAATACTACCATGCTTTTATGTCCGGGACTAACTTGGACTTCGGGTTTAGTTTTGTCAATAAAGTTTCCAAAGCCAAAGACCATTAAAAAAACTTTGTCTTTATCAAAACTCAACTCAAAATTTTGACTTTTGCTATCTAAAAGAGCATCATAATAAGCTTTTTCAGCATCATCCTTAAAGACAAAAGAAATTTTTTCAAAAGAACCGTCAGTTGGATTACCAACGGCTTTATCTATGGAGCAAATTTGCGACACTAAGAAATTAGTTTGGACTTCTAACTCTACTCCTTTGGTTCCTGCGTTTAAGTCCTTGGCAGGAATTTGTCGGATACTTTCTTTAGTAAATGGGATTTTTATTGTTGTCATGGTGATTGTCTAATTAGTCTTTATTTTAGTTTTTATAGTGTTTTTTTTTTTTTTTTTTGCTTAAAAAACCTGCTGAGCTACTGGATATTTTGATAAGGGATTGGTTGAGTGCTTAATAAGAAAAAGCCCATTATCTAACAATTATTTCTTATTTAGTTTTATTCTTTGAATAAGTTAGTAAAATTTGCTAAGGGTTTGGGGGGGTAAAAATGGCGTTATTCAGTGCTTAATTTTTTAAAGCTAAAACAAAATGGATTTTCCTTTCCACTTCCTCTATTAATTTCTCCTCAACTTTGGTAATTTTATCTTTAAACTTATCTCGGTCAATGGTTCTGATTTGGTCTACCAGTATCACACTCTTATTCTTTAAAGTAATTGGCACTTGAAAAGAAAAAGCTTTATCACCGGCTTTTAAGGAAGTAATTGGCATGATAACTATTAAAGGGCTAGCGTTATTTTGCCTATCGTTTGAAACTACCAAAGCAGGGTGAGTATCCTTAATTTCTCGTCCATTACTGTCCGGTAAGTCTACTCAATAAATATCTCCTCGTCTAATTAGCTTTTCTGCCATTTGTTAGTTTTTTACTTCATTTAACCGTTGCTGGCTTATCCTTATTTTTTTCGTAGTTTAGCCAACTTTTAATTTCGGCTTTTTCTCACTGTTTAGCTTCTTTTATCATACGAGGATTAGCATAGCATTCGCGGTATTCTTGTTCTATTCTTTTTTCACTTGAACCTAATTCTTTGACAACCAAACCCTCAATAAAATCACTTATTTTTCCCTTACCGACATCGCTTTTTAATTGGTGGTAAACAATAGAGCTAATCTTGATTGTTAATTGTTGTTTCTCCATACTTGCATATTTTAGAATTATAAAATTAAATTAAGATATCTCATCGCTGAAAATACCAAAACACATATATTTATTTTTAGCGTTGAAGTATCTTAGCTGAATAATAAAACTAAATCGAAGCCCGAAAGGGGGCGCATGATACAGGTAATTAAATCAGAGGAGTAGCGACCTTGGATATAACTTATCCTTAACTGAATATAAACAACCCTGGCATGGCAGAGTTCAATGCTCGGCTAGACACTCCTACACTATTCACTGTTAAATAGTTAACTGTTAAGGGTTCATTGAGATATATGTTCCCTTAATAGTGAATAGGCAGGATGTCTACTCCTTTTGGTAGTTCTCTTTTGATTTTGCTTTTCTCTTATTCACCTTTTATCTTTTAGACCCCAACGGGGGCTTTTTATAAGGTGGAGACAATAGGCGGAAAATCAATCAAAACACAAACAAAAATAAGTAAAACATAATATTATAGGTAAACAACAATTAAGCTCATACTTTTTCCCTTCACCTCTCCCGTAAAAAGGGATAAAAAGAGGAGAGTAAAAAGTGGGATTTCACTTCCTTAAAGTTGGGTTTAGGTGATAAGTGCTTGCACTTAATAGATTTTAGTAAAAAATGGTAGTAAAAATTAGTCAGTTAGAGAACCGAAAACTTTCTCAACTTAAAGAATTGGATATTCAAGTTTGTAGTTTTTGTGGTCAGATAACAATTCTCAACCTTGGTTGAGTGGGTTTTGAGAAACTTCATTGTCAGGCTTGCCAGGAAGTTCATGTCTTATGTTTGGAGTTATGTGTGGGAGTGGCGAGGAATATATTTGGGTGTGATTTGTTTAAGGAGTTTAAGCCAGTTGATAGAGAAGTAGTGCCACCGAATAAGCCTTATGATAGAGCTAATTGTTATTTGTGTGGTAAGGAGTTAGTTGGAGCCAGTAAGAAGGGAGTGGTGAAGAATCGGAATAATCCTAGTTTTTGAGGAATTAAGAGTGCGTGGAAAATTCTTTGTCTGAAATGCTTGGGTAGGAAGTATTATCAGAGTATGAGTAAGGGGAAGCAGAGGACTTTTAATAAGTATTTGAGGAGGGGGTATGTTTAGCTTTCAAAGTGGCTAGTTAGGGGGTAACGGTCTTTTTTTTATACTGAACGACCGCTTGAAGCCAACTAGCCAAGTTCAAAACTAACAAATGCCAGCCAAGAGGAGGCTTTGGCTGGCTTAAAAGCAGATTCGTTTATTGGAACGAGATATTAGAATTAGGCTCTTTCTTAGGCTATTTAATCCTTGTTACTTTTTGTCATGCCAACCAGAGCAAGAATAACAATTACGAATAACAAAATGCCGCCACCAATTAGCCAGGGGGTGTAATTATTTTTCGCTTGGTCTTGTTGCTGTTTTCAATCGCTTTCTTCCAATATCAACTTTTTATTGTTTTTTTTGCCTTTACTTTGGAGGTATCTTTTGAGTTCTTGTAATTCACTATCCGCATTATCTAAGTCAGATATCTCTTTATTTGGCTTATTAGATTTGTAAAAGATTACTAGTTTGCCAGTTTCCTCGTCATACTCTAATTTCCTAATGTCATTATCCTTAGAGTATTTTCGCACCACACTAATATCGGGGGTGTTATCTTTCTTGTCCTCAGGTTTCTTGTCCTCAGGTTTCTTGTCCTCAGGTTTCTTGTCCTCAGGTTTCTTGTCCTCAGGTTTCTT